GCTCATATCTTTGTCAGATTGATTCAATTCAGTTAAATTAATAGTATTGTGTAACAATCAAATGAATATATACTGTCTTTTGGGTATAAATAGGACAGTTTCATGATTTCATCGTAAATTTTATCGTTTTTACTTGAATAATCAAATGAAATTGGGAAGTTTGAACTAAAAAGTTTTGTGGATGGGGCTGTTTTGTTGAGTATTGCTCATTTGGGACATTTGATTTTGTTTTTGCATGTAACCTTTGTTATTAAGTGATTTTTAATAGAGCTTCAATAGAGTTGTTAACAGTTGTTGATTCACTTCCTCTCTCAACTAAATCTCAATGTGCTTTTTAATTTTTAATTTTTATACTGGTTTGGTTGGGTGGATTCAGTTTGTGTTGAATTGAAGGTGTGAGATGTTGTGGTGAGGGCTGAAATTTACCCTCTGTCCATATGATTTTGGAGTGCTTGCCACCATTGATTGAATTTCATCATATCTTTTCTAGCATTTTCTACTACTGATTTGGTTTCATTTGTGGGTTTTTGACTAGATCACGTTTTTGATAAAAGCGTGATTATGCTAATTACATTTTTTTTTTTAAACTTGAACACAGAATAATATTTGAACTATTATTTTTTCCCAAGTGGATTTGGCATAACTGGGAGTTTTGCCCTCTTTCCTAAATTGTGGAATTTGAGTTTTTAATATTTAGTTGATCGTTAAATTGTAGTTTGTGAACTTTATCATTTCTTCTTCCAAATTTTTCTTTGTTAACATCTAGGCGATGACATTAGATGTTCAATTCAAATATCAGTTCAGTTTTTAATTTGTAGTTGCTAATGTGCCATTATGGAGTAACAAAAAGATTTCAGAACGTGTTTTGAATGCTATGACAACCATTTGGGTGCTTTTTGAATAAGTCCTCTCTCTCTCTCTCTCTCTCTCTCTCTCTCTCTCATGTAACATCAGCCACCGAAATCGAAGCTGGGTTGATGTTTATCAGTTTGATAGAGGAATTAACGATGTTGACATGCCAAATAGCCAGTGCACCCACCTAGTCTTTCTTCTTTGCCAGTATGTAACCATTACTTCCTTATCAAATTGCTCTTCTTAAAGTACCACTCTCCACTCCTCTTTAAAATTTTCTCTGATTTTTTTTTCTTCTATTGTTCATTTTCATCACTTGAATTACAGGCTGTTAGGTGACAGAATATACAACTGGGTGACTTGGATTGCACAACTGGGAAACGACACGCATCTAATGTAAAAAGCCTTTTCTTTTTGATGTTGAACCATTATTTCTTATCAGTTTGATAAGAAATAATCAGATCTAAAATTCATATGGAGATGTTGAACCAAATTTAAAGTGGGACTACACTTGAGGCTATACATATAGAATGCTTGATTATTTATTTTTTGGTTTCAAATTAATTCATGAACTATATGTGTTAAGTTAATCTCTTCTGATTTTATATTGCCATTACAAAGTAAAAGGACAAGGGAATTAAAAATGATTGTAATTGTCTATATGTGTATATTGAAAGTTTCGTATACATTGTGACATGGAGTTTAATCTTGAATATGAAGAATCATTAATAGATTGAATGGATCATAATTACAATGTGGTGAATTTTTACTAGTATGAAAGTGCTACATTAGTTTGTCTTAACTTTTATTTTTCATTGGTCAAAAGTGTATTAACTTGAATGTGGTTTTTATTTTTTATTTTTTTAACTTGGAGTGCCGTAGGCACGGGTCATCCGCTAGTGTATATATAGTACAGATAGATGCTTTAACGGTTATTGATTGGGATAACTATTTTTAATTGGACCACACTAGTTAAAATTAGAAACTTTAAAGACTAAATAAATGAAATGAATAATTTAAAGATGAAATATGAAAAATGAAGATAATTTGAGGAATACAAAGTGAAATTAACCCCAAAATAAAAGTTTTCAATCATAAATAATGATCACAAAGAAAGAATAATCACTAGATCAAAATTACAAATAATGATAAATAAATAAAAAAACACGATTAATTTCAATTTTTTTTCTCCTAAACTATGACTCTTTTTTTTTTATTTATTTCATCTTTAAACTATTTATTTAATCTTTTGAGTTAGCTAATGTGATCTAATTAGAGACCGTTGTCTAAATTAGGGTAAATTACACTTTGACTCGCTAAAGTATGCCCTCTTTCTCACTTTGCCCCCTAAAGAAAAGATTTTCCCACATTGCCCCTTGAACTATTCATTGTTTGTCACTTTAGTCCAATTTTCAACTTCTGTTATAAACAGATTACTAATAATATGGAAAACTTAAAACAATCTCAATAATTTAAAAAGAAAATAAAATAAAATAAAACTAACAAGCATAATAGTATCTATAACACTAACAAGAGCATAATTAGAAATGCACTCGATAGATAAGAAAAATGAAAACAAAAGCGTAATTATGAAATTATACCAAATATTTTAGACTTCATCATTTGAAATGCAAACATTTTGTTTGTTAAAATATTGAGGAACAAATTGTTTTCTAACTTAGAAGTGGCCTACATAAATGGTTACATTTTGTGAATAATTTATTCAATGCAGTTTTTGTTTTGTCTAAGTTGAAATAATGAACATAATGCTTGAGATCATTGTAACGATTATCTGAAATATTAGGTGTGTAAATTATCAAGTAACAATTACCTTTAATTTGTGATTCCAGCAATTTTGATAGCTAAAAATTAGAATGTACTCACTTTGATCTTGTTAATCCAATGTATTCAACAAACTATATTGTTGTCACAAAATCCATTATTTCCTTGAAATAGAGACAGAGAGAGTTTAATTTTGGCCTATAACAAATCTCCCAATACCCATATTTATGCACACATAACCAGAGAAAAAAGAAATGCATATCCATGTCTAGATGATTTCTGCTATACAACTACAATTTGTTTATTAAATGATACACAAATGAAAAAAGAAAAAGGACCACAAATTAGCTAAAATAAATTTTGGATTAAAATGATAAAGAACACATACTTTGAGGACTAAAATTGTCTTTTATCTAATAAATTTACTCCAAAAATTTTTAAAGCATTTTTTTATCAGGAAAAAAGGTTAAACCAAATAAACAAAAAGCCTGAAGGCGAAATGATAGTTTTGAAAAGCTTACAATACATTAAAGGAAAAATAAACTTTAAGTAGTCAAGAGCAACTCAAGAAGATAGAGGTTTGTCCTTAAATTAATCAATACTATAGATATATTCTTCAATTCAATCAAAGAATAAAGGCAACGGAGAAAATTATAAAACTTATTGCAAAGACACATTACAGAGATATATGAAAACACGAAAAATGAAGCAAACCTTTGGCCAACACTCCAATTGCTATGTGTAGTTTTCCTCACATTTCTATTTAACCCTCTATAGTGGCCCAAGACATTGACCCTCCAGGGCCGGACCTGAGTTATTAGGGGCTTAAGGCGAATTTTTTAAATTGGGCCCTTCATGTATCGTTACCTATAAAAAATTTGTTTGGATAAAACAAAAAGGATAAAAATTTATTTCTATTGCATTATAATTTAACAAAATTTAGATAACATATATATATATATAATAGTTGAACTTCAATTAGTTGAATCGAATCTTTATTTTTTAGCTTACTAATGTTGTAATAACTAAAATTAATTGAGGGTAAGGATGAGAATTTTCGACACAACTCAAGCAATATATAAAATTAGGAAATTAGGGTTGACTATTTTTCAACATGAATCCAAGTATGTCACGACTCAATAACATAAATTATTAGTTATATATTTTAATGTTCCCTAAGCGATGCTATGACATTTTTTTAATCTTTTATTTAACTCCATCTGACTGAATAAAAAAGTATGTAAAATGATAATTATATCATTTTTCATTTAAGATATGTATTTTTTTGTTACCTATTTTAGAGTCAATCTAGTAAAAAATATATAATAATAAGGTACAATTTTTTTTTTAATTAAAAAAATACAATTGAATTAAAATCAAACATTTTATGAATAATTTCATTTAGTAGAAACAAATTTTATAAAATTCAACTTATTGGAAAAATTTTAATCTCTCCATATGCTAGCTAAGTTATTTTTAATTAAAAGTGAAAGTTTTCACATTAAACATCAATCGGACACGAATCAAAATAATACTATACGATAATATGAAAATAAATGAATTGAGTTAATATTGAAGTAATTATGAAATAATATGACATGATACACTCCCCTAATTGGGAGCCTTAAATTTTGTTCAAAATTGGGAGCCCGAAGCGACCACCTTAGTCGCCTCACCTCGGGGCCAATTCGGTGACCCTCAATCAAATTAAAACATGATTCATACTAATGTAGTATAATTCTCTTTTTTGATTGAAACTCAAACAAAAGTCATTTCCAAACCAAAACAAAGCAATGAAAAGAAAAAATTGAATCTTTAACTGTTCAAATGTTGTAAGCAAACAAATTTTAAAGTTAGTTTTCCATCAATACCCTTACATCCAAAGAAGAAAACCTAAAAAGCACAAGGGCAAAATCGACTTTTCAATCATTCAAAAAATGTTGTTCATATTTGGCTGAAAATTCCTGCACTGGGGATTGGGAATGCTACTGCGTAACCCACGCAGCAGCAACTGTTGTGCGGTGAAACGAGCTTATTCTGAGGTTCATTTTGATAATTCGAACCGTTTATATTTTAAAATACATCAAGTAAAATATGTCTACAAAAAATCAAATTAATCGGATATCATTTACCCATTTATCTACTCACATTTATATCTATCAAAATAAATAATAATTGTGATTTAAAGTATTAAAATAAATACAAATGTGAGTGGATGAATAAGTAAACAATATCTGATTAACTTAATTTTTTACAAATATATTTTATTTTATATATTTTAAAATGTGAACCGTTCAGATTATCAAAAATAAGTCTCAAAATGAGCTATTTCGCCGTGGGTGCTGCACAGCCGCATACCCAATTCCTCACCTTTGGATCCATGCTTCGTATATATTGTATGTGTAGATACCGAAATCAACACAGCTTTATCGTTCCTAAAACCCTAACTCCCCTGGAAATCCTATCTTATCCATCATCATGAAATCAGGGTTTCGTGATAAAAGTGTTCGTGTCTTCACGGAGGAGGAGAAGATGACAAAGATCAATCGTTTCACAGAGAAGACCGCAGTATTCTTCAATACTGATACACATTTTCTGTTGAAATTTCAAGTATTAGAGAAATTGGAAAAAGAATTGAGCATTTGGAAGAATATACAGAGAAGAAGAAGAAGAATAAAGAGAAGAATAAAGAGGGGTAAACTTTTACCGACCAACAGATGGTTTAAATTCAAGCTTATTGCTAAATTTCTTGGCAAGAGAAGACCAATAAACAAGAAAAGAGTTGCCAGACAAGAATTTCTATTGAGTTGCATCCAAAGCAAGTTGGATTTGATTAATCAAAAGATGCAGGTTGGTATTCGATTACTCATTAATAATAATATGCCACTTGCTATTCAGATCAAAAGCAAGTATGGCTTCTCAGCTTTCCTGAAGATGCGGTCTCATGGTTATCGCGGAAAGCTAATATTTCTCAGTGGCATCGGAGAAGATGTGGTCGGGAAACTCGTGAAGGAGGCTGCACGCAAGGGAATCATCTATGAACTTCCGACAACACTAGGCCACTTCGACGGCCACAATTTCACAAAAAGAAGCGATATTGTGAATGCTCAAAGCGCACGAGAAAGGGTACAGGAGGCTCAGTACTCACTGATCATACCTGCCGAAACGAGCCATAATGACTCCGTTGTTGATCATCATTCATCTTCCTACTTATTTAGAGATCATTGGAGATACAATGACCATTGACAGGTTTGTCTTCGATTATTTAATTATGCAAGTTGTTCCTATTTTTTCTTGAAGGCTACTTAAATTTAGTCATATAGTGAGCTGATTTAAGTCACCAACTGCCTAGTACATGGTTTGGCCCAAGCATGACGATGAGCCAACAATGGTATCAAAATTTGTTTTATCAAGCTTGCTAAATGTTATCAGCGAGTGTTGGGTGTTTTGGATGCAAGTGTGTGTTTAAACTACAAAGAAATCAATCTAAAACACACATAATCAGATCTGATTTTTCCTGCAGAAAATAGAGAAGATGAAGAGCAAAACAGGGGAGAAGAGGGATCACTTTTTAACAGCCCTTTCAGCAGAATTTTCTATTGCCTTTTTAGCTTCCCTTACAAGCTTTTTTATATGAAATTATATCAACCCAAGTACCAATAAAACATCTGGACAAATTTCCTTCACATACATTAACTCTAATTAACAAAACTCAACCCAAAACATAACTAGAATTAAATAAGCATAAGTGATTGCTTGGATACAAAATTAAACAAGCACATTACATCATGAAATACACCCATGTCATCCTTGTATAGTCATCAATAAAAAGAATAAAGTACTTGTTTTGGGCATGGGAGGGAGTTCTCATAGGCCCACAAACATCTGTATGAACTAACTCTAACATTTCTTTGGCTCTCCAAGCAACTCCTTTAGGAAAAGGTTGCCGATGATGCTTCCCTAGTACACACCCCTCACAAACATCATGTATTTCCTCAATACTTGGAAGTCCTTGGACCATATTCTTTTGGTGAAGCACTTTGAGACTTTAAAAATTTAGATGCCCAAATCTTCTATGCCACAACCATGACTCATCATTCATATGAGCTTTCAAAGCAACATCTCTAGCATAGTTGAACGTGAGTGGGAAACTTAGATTTTTCAACATTTGAATTTTTGCCACCACTTGCTTTGTATTTCTGTAGTGAATGTTGCAGCTGTTAGCTTCTAAATAGACTGCATATCCATGTTCCACAAGTTGTCCAACACTAAGCAGATTTTGCTCCAAGTCTAGAACAAGCAACACATCATGAATAAACTTACTCCCCATCTTTGTTTCAACTCTTATGGTTCCTTTTCCCTTTGTATTTACTAACACTTCATTTCCCATTTTAACTTGAGAGCAAATTGAAGTGTCCATGTCCAAGAAAATAGACTTGTCACCTATCATATGATTGCTACACCCACTATCAAGGTACCAAACATTATTTTTGTGTTCTGAGGCTGCTTGACAAGCATAAAATAAGTTTCCTTCTCTATCTTTCTCCTCTAAAAAATTAGCTTGTTGATTGCTTTTGACTTTGCAATCCTTTTGGAGGTGGCCAAAATTCTTGCATTTATAACATTGTGGTTTCCCTCGGAACCTACAACCCTTCTCTAGATGATTTCCCCTTTCACAAATTCTGCACTTTCTTGTATTTTCTTCTACACTTGAACTTCTATCAATGTTGCTTCTATCTCTTCCCCTTGATGAATTTCTTCCTCTACCTCTTCCTCTTCCTTGTCTACCACCTCTTGATGATTCCCTTCTTGTTTTTCATTACTTGATGATTCTCCATGATTTTTAGAATTCAAATTAACTTTTGATTGGAATGCACTCTCCAGAGGCTTCTGTAATTGTTTTAACAACCTTTGTTCATGAGCTTTCAAAGAACCCATAAATTCTTGGACACTCATTTTAGAGATATCCTTTGTTTCTTCAATTATTCCCACCATTGTGTTATATTTTTCCGGTAAACTAACCAGAATTTTCTCAACAATTCTCTTTTGTTCAACTCTTTCATCATATGATTTCATTTGATTGACAATCTCCATCAATTTAGAGAAATAATCAGTTAAAGTTTCAGATTATTTCATCTTCAAATATTCTAACTCCTTTCTAAGAGGTTGGAGTTTGATGATTCTTACCTTTTTGTCTCCTTGAAATTCTTGTTGTAAAATGTCCTATGCTTCCTTTGATTTCTTGGCTTCAATGATTCTTGGAAACAACTCATCAGAGAGTGCTTGTTGGATGAAGAAGAGTGCTTTAGCATCTTTTTTTCTGGTTTCCTCTAGCTGCTGCTCTTGTGCTGAAGTTAATGTAGTTGTTGAATTGGGTTCATCATACCCATTTTGTACCAAGTTCCATAAACCTTGGGACTGACATAAGGTCTTCATCCTCACACACCAATAATCATAATTTTCTCCAGCAAAAATGGGCATAGATGGTTGCTGGATACCAATACTTTGGTTGCTTGAGTTAGCCATAGAGATTTTTTGCAAAACTCACTTTTCTTCTTCACACACCTATTTTCAGCCCTCTTTTTCAAATCCAAGGTTCCACTTCGAACTAGGCTTTGATACCACTTTATGTTGGGTGTTTTGCAAGCAAGTGTGTGTTTAAACTACAAAGAAATCAATCTAAAACACACACAACCAGATCTGATTTTTCCTGCAGAAAATAGAGAAGAAGAAGAGCAAAACAAGGGAGAAGAGGGGTCACTTTTAAACAGCCCCTTCAGCAGAATTTTCTATTGCCTTTTTAGCTTCCCTTGCAAGCTTTTTTAAATGATATTATATCAACCCAAGTACCAATAAAACATCTGGACAAATTTCCTCCACATACATTAACTCTAATTAACAAAACCCAACCCAAAACATAACTAGAATTAAATAAGCATAAGTGATTGTTTGGATACAAAATTAAACAAGCACATTACATCGACAGTGAGATGCTTCAAAAGGAAAAGGCATTCTTCCTATTTATTGGTTTGGATCATCAACATCTCTATCAATAACACTTTTTTTTTCAATTAGTCTCGAGTGCCATTAACCATATGTTTTCTTTTCCAAGTGTATTGACTCACAATCATGTGTTCTTTTGTCCTATTTTACTATTGCAGCTGCTACTTGAGAGAACAAAGTGTGCGAAAAGGAGTCAAATTGGCATGGAGCTAATTCTTACACATTGTTGTTTTGTATGTTTGTTATATGCTTCACTGTGTTGCAAGAAGATTGAGAAAATTCTAGTTGTGTCTGTAACTTGAAGAGCATTGTTAAGTTGCGATATTTTTCAAAATCTATCATACTATTAGTAACTCTAGTAGTACATACAATCGGTTATATGATGGTAAAATGAGCATATTTGATGCTTCTTTGATCGCTTTTTATATTCCTTCTTCTTTGTTAGAGGTTATCTTATACCTGCTCTCGTCTTTGTTTGCTTTAATATTATCAAGTCTAGTAGTGATACAGAAGAATGACTTGGGGCTTATTAGCTATGATCTTTTGAATGTTTCTGGTCCTTTGCCTAGGCCACTTCCATGCTCCTTGATGGATTATGTCTCTTAAACTTTTAGCTTTAAGGAACTCCCCAAATTAAATACTACTTTCATCAACACATAGGATGCTAATTATCACTCCATACCAAAGTGGACTGACCATTTCCAATAATATATCTGATAAATTGCTACCTCAAAGCTCCAAATTTCAAGATTTCCCTCATGGTCCATGAAGAGTAGGTTGGTATAGGCATCCTCCACAAACTGTTCGTCTTTAAGGGCCTTTTATACCCTGACCCCCTTCGCATTTTGGAGCACATACAGCCTTCTGTTGAATTTTTGCTCCTAACTGTCTAAGATCGGAACTAGTCCATAAGAAGGCTCTAGGAGCGAGTTCATCACCTTCTGAGGAAGAATGAAATGAAAGCTCTAAAGTTCATCCTCTTGATATCAACGTGTCAGGTTTTGATTCCTAATCTTTTGTATGTACATCAAAACAATTTGAGCTCTTCCATTTGTAGCCCTGGCAATATAAATTTGAGGCCTTCATTGGACTATGTGATCAATTTATTTGCAGCATCTTTTCTCAAATTTGGGAATACAAAAACTTATCCAAACTACTTTCTATTTTGAATGATTTCTGAATTTTATCATGAAATTTTTTTGCCAGCTTTTTATTATTAGTTTTGTTTTTTATTTTTAGCATTCAGAATAAGTTCATCTGTCCATTGGATGTAGATAAAGGGAAGCATGCCCAAATGTGTGCATGCCTTTACATATCTGGTCTCATCATTTCAACTGCATGCAACCATTAACCAATAGCTTTTCTTCCATTTATTTTTAAATTTTTGCCAAAATTGTTGTTGACTTGATCAGTTTCTAATCTAAGTTTCATCAAAATAAAAAATGGCCTTCAAAATATGATTCTATGCATAAATGTAAGGGGCCTTCAAAAAGAAAAAAATGAAACAGATTGTGCTGGACAAAATAATTGGGAAAAGCCTATTAACAATAATTAATGTAGGTAATGATAAATATGTGCCTAGTAGTGGTATATGAAGGAGTATCAAAACGGCATTTTATAATAATTATACATATAATGATAGTGTTAAATACAAATAGTGGGATGTTAGTAAGTTTGTGGGTGACATTACATAACTTTATGATTAGTTACGACATTTTATGGTTCTCAAAAATTTTATGCTTTTCGTTACGCCAATTTGTAGTTAGGTGACATGTTTTAGTGGGTGACGTTACCTATCTTTGTGGTTAGGTTATGACATTTTTTTATTCTCAGAATTTTTATGCTTTTCGTTAAGTCAATATGTAGCTAAGTTACGCATTTTTGTGGCTGACGTCATATATCTTTGTGGTTAGCTATGAAGTATGGACACTTCAAAATCGGTGTCGTGGCTGTAACAATTCAGATTTCTAATTATTCTGTAAAATTTATACTAATATTATTTAATCTCAGTTCGGAAAATATATAATTTATTATATATTATTATGTGTAATTTTGTAAAATAATATAATTATTAAAAGTTTAGGGGTCAAAATATAAATAATAATAATAATAATGGACATAATAATAAAATAAATAATTAATTTTCTGTTAGTATGTGATAATGTATAATTTAATTAAGAATTAATTAATTTCTATAATTATATTAAAATATTGGATCAAAAGGTAATTATCTTAAATATCTATTAAGGATAAGAACGAATCTATATAATTATTACTGAATCTGGCACGTAGCGTGTTTTCCCCCTTAAATACGGAGGTGCCTGGAGAGAAAACGGCAGGAAAAAAGATAAAGAAAGGAAGAGAGAAAGAAAAGAAAGGAAAGAGGGGAAAAGAAGGAAATAATAGTGGAAGCTAAAAAGGTCTTTGATGGTGAAAAGAAAGAGTAAGGTATTAAAGTTAAGGTGAGTTATATTGAAAAATGTTTGGGGGCCCTAATTCTGTGGCTCAAATGTGGCTCAAATGGCCAAAACGACGTCGTTTTGGCCATTTTGATGTTGTTTTGTACTCAAAACGACGTCGTTTTGGCCATTTGAGCCACATTTGAGCCACAGAATTTGGGCCCTCTACCATTGCTCAGTTATATTATATCTTGAGTTACTAAAATGTATTTTACTTATATTTTGACTTATCAAAATCTGTTTTACAAAAGTTATATTTTATTAGTATATTTATAAAAGTTATGTTTTATAAAAGTTTCAGTTACGTGGTTTTATTTTTGAACCCTATTTGCTTAAAAGGAAACCTATGGATGTGTTTGTTTTACTCTTAAAGAATATTTGGCTATGACTTTATATGAAAATATGTTTTGTAAGTACCACCACGGGAGTCTCATGCCTTAGGGGACTTAAATAACTATTGGCTTAGTGAGTCCCATGTCTTGGGGGACTTAAATAACCATTGGCTTAGTGATTGATCACTTTGTGGGGACTGAAATAATCTGGATCCATTGACCAGTGAGTGCTGGGGCACTTAGTGATGTACCGTGGTTATGGTTATATAGTGATTTCCGTGTTACATGTATACATCAAATGATTTCTGTATTACGTATACTAAATTCAAGCTCTTTTGGCCTAACCAATTATCCATGGTGAATTTATGCCTTATACTTTTAGTATAATATTTCTCACTCTGCCATGAGCTTATAGTTTTTTACTACTTTCAGGTGACATGTCGGGACCAGCGTGTGGAGTAGGCACAAAGCACTTTTATTAATGTATTTTTTTTATGTAAATATCGGCTTCTTGGATC